CTCCAGCTCTCCTGGAGCCCCTTAAATCCTGGAAAGCTCCTACTGGCTCTAACCCCAACCGGATCTCTGGGACAAGGTCCTGGATGAATGGAAAGAGAGCAACTCCTTGCTCAGCTGGGTTTGTGCCTGAAGGCCAGCCTCATATGGTAGAGAAATATTGTAAGTATCATCCCCTGAGTAAACCTGAGGGTTTTGGGGTGATGCTCAGTGTGGAGGGGGCTGTCAGGCAGTGGGGCAGGACTCACCATGCAGCGGGTGTGAGACAACCCGTGACACACACTGCATCATCATCTCGTGGGATGTCTGAAAAGCAGGAAAAAACACCAGGATGAAATCTGTGCTGCTCCTCCTGCATGGCCCAGGCCCCTTCCCTCAGTGTGGGGAAACCCATTTTGGGTCTCTTGAAATCTGTCCTTGTGGTAAACCTCTCTTCCTTTGAATGATTTCATGGATGGATACAGAATGGCTACTGAACACCAAAGATTTCTCACCCCAGTTTCTCTCCAATAATCTCATCTCACCCACATCCCCAAGGACCTCCCCAATCCTCACTAATGGGCAATATCCACTTCTCACCTCTCTGACCACTTTCCTAAGGGAAGTTTTCACATCATCCTTGTTAGACACATGCTCCATRTCTTCCAGTGGAAAAGCCTGAGTGGAGAGGGAAGAAACATGGTCAGAACTGATGGAGATGCTGACCCACACACCCTCAGTGTCTGAGGACACAGGGAAACCATGAAAAGCTGTTTTTTAATGCAAGGATAAAACAAATAGGCAAGAAGGAACACAGGAGAAGGAAGGATGGACAGGAAAATAGAGGAATAGAGGTGCCACAAAACTGCTGACAAAGGATACAAGGCAAGGGGATGCCAAATTAAATTAAAATTGTTTATAAATAAAAATATGTTTTGGGGGTAAGGGCACTGGAGGACTGMTCCCTTAGGAGATGGAAAGGGATGGGTGTAACAGTAGTTCTGTGCAGCYCTGGCTGACTGCAGGCACTTGCTACAGTAGTCCTGACCCTGCAGATGATTAATGGAGGGAGAATCTGACCCTTACCTTCTTCACACTCCCCCTGGTGATGGTTGATAAAGTGCTTGAGATGAGGCGAGGAGTCAGGCCACGGAAGAGGCCTCTTTTCCCATCCACTTCCACGATGTGTCTGGCTGGGTGGGACAACACCAGRCTGCTGTCAGTCAGGAAGGAGCTGACACATGCAAAGCACCCCAAACACCTCCGGGGTTCAGCTGAAACCACGCCAGGCTTGGCACAGCAGCCACTCCACGGTCCCACAGTAAGTGATTTATTGTAACAATCCCTAATAAACTCCGTCATGGATGCCAAGAATTCTTACTCTCTGTCATCTGTCTAATTTGGAAGGACAGCTCCACTATTCTGGGCTACTTCTCACCATTTGATAGTTTTGCTCACCTGGAAGGGCTCCAAGGTAGTTTGGACTGAACCAGGTTGGGAGGGATCTGTGGTGTCACCAGGGATCATCCCATGTGCTCTGTGCTGTCACCTCCTCCCTCCACCCCGCAAAGGGTCAGACTCGGGATTAACACAAAACCCACGTTCAGTTCCTGCCCCACCACCTTCTCCCAGACAGACTCCTTCAGGTCTCCAGTCACAAAAAAAAAGCCAAGAGATCCAATTTCTCCCACACATAACAAGATGGGATAGAACCCATCATGTGCTGCTGGGTACTGACTGCTCCTGGCCCCTGTCCTGTGCTGTCCAGACAAAGCCAGGTAGATTCTGCACCCCTCCATTACCCAACACTGCCCATCTGTTTGGAAACTGCACCTTCCAAAGGGCAGCACTGGAGCATTTCCACCCCTGGTGTCCCARGATGGGCTTCAAGTGCTCCCACACTGCTCCTTGTGCCAGTTCCACCCCATGGATTCTGCTGGCTGGTTTTGGGATTGGCCCAGCTTGGCTTTCAGGACTGTGCATTCCCCTCTCCCACAGCAAACCTGCTGTGACAGCAGGTCACAAAGTATTCACCCACCTCTCCCATGCTGCTCCATCCACAAGAGGAAAACACTATTTTTTTTCCTTCTATACATATTACCTTGCCCTTTTTGTGGTATTTCTGACCCTTTAGTGCTCCATCTACAACAGTAATTAGCAGAGCAGTGGTGCAGCTTATTGCAGGGCTGTCTTGGAGCAGCAGGAAAGTACTTTGTAACCTCCAAGACACACAAAACCCTCCTGGGACAAACCTACACCACCTAACCCCCCAAACCCCTCCACCACGGTGCAAACCCAGAGCAATGTGCCATGGGAAGGGCATGCAGCAGCAACAGTGCAGCCACCATCACCCTGTTCCCAGCAACAGGTACATAAATGTGACAGCCTTGCAAGGAGTTRTGGTGGTTTATGCCTCACTGCAGCCTCAGGATGATCCCAAGGGGATGTGGGAGAGCTGCTGGAGGTCGGTTCAGTGTGCCTGGCAGCTCCCAACCCAGATTCCCCGAGGGCAGGACCTCACCCTGGCAGGGAGGGACAGTCACTCACCGTAGGTGAAGAAGCCGGGTAGGTACAGGACCTTCCTTCCCAGCACATTTCTTCCAATGGTTGGAGGTAGTGGCTCATGCCCAACCTGAGAGAGAAACCCCATAAGCAGGTCTCAGTCAGGAGGTTCCCAAAGCCTTGATCTTGTTCCAACAGCCTTGTCCCAGCATTCCCTGTCACTCAGACAGGCACTCCTTTCCCCATTATTTGGGGTTCCTAGGGTACAGGGGGGTCCTTGACCTTCCCATTTTAGGGGGTCCCTGTTACTGAGAGGTTCTTGGGATTCCCATTATAGAGAGGTTTCCCATCCCTCCTTATATGGAAGGCCTCATTGCAGAGGGGGTCCTGAGATTACAGAGTGTCCCTATTCCCTATTAGAGGAGGGGTCCCCACTACAAAGGGGTCCCCACTGTATAGGGGTTCTCACCCCCCCATTATATGGTGTTCCCTATTCCTTATATAGGGTGTCCCCATTGCAAAATGCATCCTCATCCTTCTATTATACAGGGCACCATTTTTATATAGGGACCCCCGGTGTATACAGAACCCCATCCCATTACATATGGGGGACTCCATTACCCAGGGGTCCCCATTCTACAGGTGCTCAGAGGTTCCCCCTATAATGGGGGGAGGGGTGTATATACAGTGACCCTCCGAGCATGAAGCCCTCCATAGGGGCACTAAACAGGAATCCACTTCCACCCATTATACTGGGGTCCTGATTCCCCATTATCCATGGGGATCCCATCCTGTTCCATATGGGGGTCCCCATTACAGAGGGGTCCCCCCTTCTATTGGTGCCTCTTATCCCATAGGTGCCCCCATTGCACAGGGGGTCCCTTTCAGTAACCTCCAGCCCATGGAGGCCTCCACAGGGGCATTATCCATAAATCCTCCCATTTCCTAGGTGTCACAACCCCCATTACATACAGGGGTCCCCTCCCCATTCTGTAGATGCCCACATTGCACAAGAGGGTCCCATTGTAACAGAGGGGCTGTAAATATTGTATATACAGCCCCAGCACAAAGTCTCCATAGGGACTCCATACAGGAACCCACCTCCTCCCCTATATATTATACTGGGGTCCCGATCCCATTACATACAGGGGTCCCATTACACTGGAGTTCCCCATTCTATAGGTGCCCCCCATACTACAGGTGCCCAGATTTCTATAGGTGCCCTCCGTTCTATAGGTGTCCCCTCCACACAGGGGGTGCCGTTATAAGGAAGGGGGAAGGGGGCTGTATACACAGCGGTCCCCAGCCTATGAAGGCCTCCATAGGGRCCGGCACCTCCTCCCGTTATCCCGGGGCCGCCACCACCGTTACACACGGGATTCCCACCCCGCCGTCCCCCTGCTCTCCCTCCCTCTCCCCCACGGCCGGACCTGCACCAGCAGCTTGACGTAGAGCAGGGGGTGGCTGGCGGCGGCGAGCCCCGCGCCCAGCAGCACGAACAGCCCCTCGGCGCCCTCAGGCCCCGCCGGGTCCGCCGCGCCCCCGCCAGGCGGCGACAGCGGCCC